ACCAGTTTCAGCGTAATATTGTCGAGGGGCCACCAGTGTATATCGGTTCTCCCAAAGCGCAATCTAATCTCTGTGTCTCACCACCCAGTTAACATCTTTCTTCCCTCGTCTATCTATGTTATGCACGTCGTCTAAATTCCTAGGAGCTCCAGGAATATATTGCGTACAACCATACTGACGGAGCACGTGATCAACTGGATGCCACTCAATAATAGCATAACATATAAGAGGTATAACCGATATCCATACCTCTAATGACCCACTAAGGTGGGGTGGGATGCAAGCTTTCACTTCATCGCTCGCATAAGGTATCCACTGAAACTGAAATATAAATATACAATTCAAATAAATAAAATATTATAATTATATCTAACATTTTAAATTAAAATATTAATAATTAAACAAATTTAAAAACATACCTCAGGCCCAGCTTTCGTATCAATAAGTAAACGAATTTCCTCTAACCCAGTAGGTATACTTTTATGGTCATTTCTTTTCATCGACCACCTATGAAATATAATATAAACTAAATATCACCCTATTTAATTGAAAATATTTAAATCAAAATTTAGTTCGAAAATTACCTCAACAATAAGGGGAATACGTATGGTTCATTCACGATCGGGCATAAGAAAGGCATGCGGAACCACACCCATGATTGTAGAAGCAGAAGACATCCACCGATAGCAGTTTTCTTATAATTCGTCGCCCGACACATTTCTCTAAAGAGAAATGCCAAAACTGCAGCACCCCAACTATATCTTCCAGCTTCATCAAAATCGATCAGATGCCGCAACCACATACAATGCACCTGGTTGCGAGATTTTTCGGGCATCAATATTCCTCCAATTATTCGTAGAATATATGCCCGAGCACATGCCTTTGCTTGATCCTCTGAAGCATTTTCATTTAAAACCTCAAAATTAGCTTTCGACCAAGATAAAGCTATTCTACCTCCATTAAACTTTGGCGGAGCAGCTCCAAGATAATCAATGCACATTGATTGCCAATCACCATCCGCCATACCACACATCATATTTCCGTCGACGGGAAGCCCCAGATGCATAGAGACATCCTCCAATGTAATTGTCGCCTCTCCACATGGAAGGTGAAAAGTGTGTGTCTCGGGCCTCCACCTCTCAATCAGTGCAGAAATTAGGACAGGTTCGAGTTTGCAACCGCCTCTAATTGTTGCAATATACCCGAACCCGGCAGAAGCCAAATATGACAAAATACGTTCCGGTGTCGGTATACGTGGATTTTTAATAAAAGTCTCTAAAATACGATCAACATCCTAAATAATATACATTATAAAAATAAAAATTAATATAAATTCATAATAACTTTAAAATAAAAAAATTTAAATATTAACATAATTATAAAAAATATTACCATATCGCTAAAATGTCTGGAGATATGATCAATATCCAATCGCAACAGCATTTCGTTTTCCATTATAACTGTAGACAAAACAATATAATTAGCAAAAAAAATTAATAATTCTAAATAAATAATAATTATATAAATATTATTTTAATAAAAATATAATATTTACATAAATATATTAATATAAAAAATAATAACTATTTTAAAAATACTAACATAAAAAAATTTCTTACCACTAATAACAATTTAAAACTCAAATAGTTGGAGAATTTGAGTTATATAAGATAGGAGAAGATGATTTTGGTGTGAAGAATGAGGGAGGGAGGGGGTTTATATAGGGGAGGAGGAGGGGTAGTTAGGAAAAACGGATGTGGGCATTTATGACATTTAATGGAATGCGCGTCCCTAGGGATGCGCTTTCCACACGTGTCTGCTGAGTTGGCAAAGGCGCGTCCCCGGGGATGCGCCTTCCACACGTGGCATCCAACTCAGCGAAAACACGGGTAAAGCGCGTCCCCGGGGACGCGCCTTTGCCAACTCAGCAGAAAGGGTGCTACTTCTGGAAATATTGGTCAAACGGTGTCAGAAAGGGAAAATTTTAAAAAAAAAGGTGTCAGTTATGTCAAATAGCCATTGATGTAGTGGGAGCTTATTGGTTCACGTGGCGGATTTTGATTACATGTCATAGTCAGATGATGTGATCTGATTACATTTATTTTTAATATTTAATTTAAAATAAACTAAATATTTAATCACACAGTTATTATTTTAATTTTATTTTGATCATTTAATATTATATTATAATTATATTATGATGATCCATAGTAAAAAAATTAATAAAATCATTAACGTGGTTTTTTTTAATTATGATGATTTATTATTTTTAGGGATTGATTAACATTATAAGGGTATGTTTGGTTCACCGAATGTAAGATTATTAGGAGGAATGTAAGATTACCAGGGAATATGATTACTGGGAATGTTGTATTTTGTTTTTGGTTGATTTAACAGGAATGTAAGATTACCGTGTTTGGTTAAAAGAATAAAAGATAAAATAATTTAAGAATAAATTTGTAATTTAACCTTCGTAAAATTTTTATTATTAAATAAAAGAAGAATAATATTTTTGAAAAAAATAAAAATTTAAATACATTTTAGTCTAAAACGTCGGTAATCCAACAATACCTAAGGAAAGAGAGATAATGACATTTCTGGTAATATACCAAAAAAATCTACTATTGGTAATAAAACATTACCGAGAATGAGATTCCCGATCAACCAAACATTAAAATGTAGATTCTATTCCCATAAGAATCCTACATTCCTTGATACAAACACCCCTTAAGTGAAAGAGGCAACTACCCCTCTAACTTTGATGGTCTGCCTATATTTTAGCTCATTAGAAATTTTGGAATTATTGCAACAAGTTATTGTCTCTCTCTAATTTTTCAGTATAATTGTTTCTAGTACATTGTGAATTTAAAATTAATAGAATAAATCCTTGATCCCAAATTTATCTAATTTATTACTTTTTAAGATCTTTAAATTTTAAAATTAGTGAAATTAAACCCTTAATCTTTGAATATTTATGATTTAATTACATTTTAGAACTCTATTTATTTTGAAGTTATTCAACCTGTGCTTCTCATAGTTCAATCCTTATTTCTTCTCTAATTACTTTATGCTGACATCATCATTAATTTTTTAACTGTGAATGAACAAAATAAATCAAAATATAATGTTTGTGATGATTTTAAAAAAATTGACGGATAACCAAAAAAAATCAAAGTGATAGATAGATGACTGAATATGTAATTTACCCTTTACTTTATTTAATTAGATTTTAGGGTAAACTATATGTTTAATACCTAAACTATCACTTTTGTTCCGTTTTAGTACCTAAACTTTAAAAAAAAATCAAAATAATACCTAAAGTTTACTTCTTGTTTCATTTTAGTACTTCACCGTTAAAAATTTAGGTACTAAAATGAAACAAAAAGTTAACAATGGGGGAACTAAAACGAAACAAAAAGTAAATGACGGGTACTAAAATGAAATAAAAAGTAAACATTATGTATGATTTTGAAAAATTAAAAGTTTAGATACTAAACATGTAATTTACCCTAAATTGTATTATCGTATTCATTTATTAACGAAAATTTCTAGTTGTCGGTTCAGAAAAAAGAAACTTTACTATCATCATTTTAGAATGGCATTTATTTGAACATAGATCGTTAAATCTTTAGGTTTATTTTACTTTTATCGTTAACTAATTATATAATGTATTAATAAATAGAGACACCATTTTAATTATAAAAAAATAGCTGTTCCTTTTTCCCATATGTATGGGGTAAGGGAGAGGTAAGATAGTAGACTACCCCCAACATCAGATTGAGAGCAGCTTCCGTAAGAGACCTCCAAATTATGAAATGCCCTCCGTGAGATTCGATCCTACGACCTCAAGGTTAAGAACCTTGTGCTCTACCAACTGAGCTGAATGATCATTTCAATCCATTTTAATTATAATTAATATTAAACTTTAAATTCAATTTTAAAAGATTCCCTATTACATTATTAAAAAAATATTTTATTATCTTTATTTACTATTTTATGTTATTATGAATATCAGAAGATCTTCCCCTCCTCCCTAATAAAAAGACAGAATAATATCACGTTCATCGAGAATTCCTATGCTGAGCTTTTCTTTGTAAAAATGAATTTATTTCACCTTCTATCAGAAGAATTTAGGCATGTTTCGATATGAGAATTGACTAATCATAATTATATTCATAAATAACTTGAAAATTTGTATATGAAAAATATCTATTCATATTATTTATATAAAATTAATTATTTTATATTTGAATAAAGTTTACACATTATTATTTATGTTAATTATTTTAATTAATTTTTCTCTTTAAAAAATTATTTTAATTAGTCAGTAACTCATGAATGGATCTATATGACATAAACATTAATTAAACTATTTTTTTAAGAAATTTTAATTCTAATCTTGCCTAGGGGAGAGGAGAAGAGAACTACAAGAGAAGAAAGGGTCGTATCTAATGATCTAGAACCCATAATATAAGAAAATACAAAGGAATAAAGATGAATAATTTAACCAACCGATCAAATGTGTTTGCTCAATTAAACTATTATATGTGTGTCACAATTATATATTATGATTTTTATTTAAAATTTTATAGATTAACTTTTTAGAGCGATAAATTAGTTATTTGAACCTATCATATTTATTGACAAAAATATATTACAATTAGTTCTGACATCATAGCATTTTCAAATTTTAAAATATAAAGTTATTTTAATATAAAACGATTCATAAATTTATTAATTATTTTATTTTATACTAAATATTATCAATATCTCTCTCTTACAAATTACAATATCAAGCCAACTTCAACCCCTAAAGTGAAAGACTATTATGCTTAAATCCACTCGAATATCTTAAGTATATCAATCGAAGTAACGGCATCATAAATATATATATATATATATATATATATATATATATATATATATATATATAAATTATTTATCATTCAACATATTATTCTTGTCGCAGTTCACAGAAATAATACATGAACTACATCGTCTTTTTTCTATCAAATATCATCTCAATGAACCCATCCACCAAGGTACAAAGTAACGTTTAAAGAGTTTTTCCACCAATCATATGGCTCAACTAAACATCACAAATAGTACTAAACCCAAACCATCAATCTCTCATTTTATCTTTAGTGTTCCTTTGTATCAATTTTGTTCCCATGACATGCAATCCTCCACCTAAAAATACCAAAATGTATTAAACCAACAAAATCCAAGTAAATGCAATCTAGTGTCACATGGATACACATCCAACACAGATAAATATTTCCATATAATTGAAGGGTCATATTACTATAACCCATATCTAGATATATATACATACATGAGATAGGATCCGATTACATGGCGTAAAACATTTTAGTTTTACACATATTTAGGACCGTTGGAAAAAAAGGAGTTAATCTCAGCCATCTATTTTCCCTCATCCAACAGTCCTAAATCTGTACGAAACTAAAAGAGTTTTACAATGTGTAAGTGGGTACTAACCTACGTGCGCGGGTGTGTATGATTTCTGGATAAGGATACTTCAAAAAAAAAGGTTGAAGAATCAAAGTAACATTAAAATACGATGAATATTGCAGTTTCGTAAAGAAGCAAAATTGTTTTGGTAACTTACAAATAAGGGTCATTGCAGTCTTCAAGTGTAATCGTCATATTTTGTCAAAGGGAATTTACTTGAACAAATTGGCTATTTCCTCCTCGTATTGCAAAACAACTCGGTCTCTTCGGATTTTCATAGTTGGGGTCATTAAGCCACTATCAATCTGCGACAAAGTTCGAGTTCATACTTAATATATCCAGAATTGCAGATCAAGCACAAATTGCCAGCATGTAAGTCTTACTGTAAAAGGTTCATCCACGACAAGGATCGGTCCGACTTGAAATGTACACTCCGAGGTCCTGCATAGAGAGAGTCATGTCAGACACCACCTTTCCACTCCGAACCTGATAAAATAGACAATTTTCTCTGAGGGGGTGAGTTGCATCGGTAATAATGGAATCCATATCTCTGTGGGGGCTCATCACAGATATTTTCCTCTAAATATACGAAAAAACTTATAAAAGATTGAAAATGCCATGTTGGACACACAGTCCTATCGAACAGGACAAAAGAGAGGAGAAAATAACATTAGAGGCTCTTAAATTCTTACTAAATTAATAATAAAGTCGAATTTGCAAGTGTTACCATTTGCTTAATTCTTCGTATAGAAGGCTTGTCATTTTATCCCTGCCAATATCTACTGCATCTGGATCTACAATGGAGGAATTTTTCGCTGATTGGAGTACCTCATCTTTGTTCGGGACAACGATAGCTCCAAGGCGTCGTTGATCCTGAATGGAAGATGTCCATCAACAACGAGAAGTTATAAATTGAGTCAAAATATTGAAATGCTACATGTACCTAAATAAAAAAGAAAATTACATACAAAACCACGAGCAAACTTTGTAGAAAGAAAGGTGTTCAACTTGCCTGGCCTATGACGACAATCTGTTGAATAAGACTACTTCTCATGGCAGCTTCTTCAATCTCTAAAGGTTCAACATTTTCACCTATTTTCTCAAAAAAAAAAAAAACAAATCTTTTAGTTAATAAAGGGGAAGTATGGCGAAAAAGTGAGTGTTTAACGGAGTTCAAAGAAGGAAAAGACTTCAAAGTACAGTCACAACATTAGAGTTCAACTTGGTAAACTTCATCTGGCAATGTTCTTATCACGAGTGTCGTGACCGTTTTTTCGTCCGGGCACGAAATATTAAATTTTGGTGGGGAAATTAATGTTAATAAATAATTTTGAAAATAATTTGTGAGTCGCCATCGACCTTTTGGATCAGGTAGGTCAAATACCTAAAAATTATTTTTTAAAAGAGTTTTAGAAAACATCAATTAAAAAATGAACTGATCTGCGTTTTATAACCAAAAATTTGTTCTTTTTAATAATAAAAAGGGGTTCGTGGTCGGTTACGTTTAGGGAAGGATTAGCACCCCTACAACGCCCAAAATTGGTACTTTTTAATTATAAATTGTCTCTAGTATTAAAAATTTAAAAATTCAAAAATATATTAATTTATAATTCTATTATTTCAAAATTATAAAAAATATTTTTATTTAAAAATATCCGAAAAGAACTTCTAGGTACTTTAAGACAGCTCTTTTTCTTTGATATTGATAAATATTAATTTAAATAATATTGTTTAATTTTAAATATCAGAATAGGACATCCAGTTGTATTAAGACTGTCCTTTTCTTCGATATTAAAATAAATATTTAAAAGTTAATATTTATTATATATATTATGAATATATATCAAAATATTTAACATATAATAAAAGAATAATTCTATTAAACAATATATTTAAAAACAATAAAATAAATTAAAACATATAAAATAAATGACTAAATTGCAATAAAAATAAAATTAAAAAATCTAATTCATAACTAATCAAAACTATAGGGATTAAATATTATTATTTTTTTTATTTTTATTTATTTAGTGATTAAAATAAAATTATCTAAAATTCGGATATTAGATTCAAATAAATTAAAAATATAAGCTAGGGATTAAAATATTATTTATTAAAATTTAAGGATTAAATCTGTTATTTATCCTAAATATATTATTTTAATAAAAAGGACTAAAATGAATAAATTTAAAATTCGAAGACTGAACTAAAAAATATTAAAAATTCAATTTAGTGACTAAAATGTAAAGTTTACAAATACTAAGGACTGCGGAAGGGATTTAACTATTTTGTAATTACGCGCATAGTCCTTCCCGGAAACGACGTCGTTCGGGAAGGACTATAAATGTCCAATATCGGCTGGCCCGAAGGGCCAACCATTTCATTCCTCATTTCCTTCTCTCTCTCTAAACCGAGAGAGTTTCAAACTCTCTGCCTTCTCTCTAGGTTTCCCTCACCGGAGGGAAACCGGCAGCCTTAGGCCACCGTACTCCGCCGCCGGCCACCGCCGCCGGCCACCGTAACGGTGGTCGGAATTCACCAAAAACACCCCCAATTGTAGATCTAAATGCCCTAAGACCGATTCCGGTCTTTGTTTTCTCTAAAAGACTCCTAATCGGAGTAAATCTAAACAAAACCGAAGGGTTCTACCTTCTTAAACGGCGGTTTGGCAACGTTGGCTTCCGAGGGCTACAAAGGCTTCAAGGGTAAGTCTTCTTCTTCTCTTTTCCTTTGGTTTACTGCTGTGGTTGCTATTCGTTGTTTGTTGTATCCTCTGTTTTTTTTTCTGTTGTTGGCTGTCTCGGTTCCTCCTTTTTTTTGTTTCGCAGGTGGGTGGTGGCTTTATAGCCACCACCGGTGCGGTCATCGGACTGGTCCGAAGAGGGGGCTTCGGTGAGTCACCGGACTACCAGTGGTGACTCACCCCGTAGCCTTAGCGTGGACGGCCGGCGTTGATCTTCTGGAAGCATCATTCGGGACGTGGCAGCGGCGGAGGCGGTGAGGGCTTCTGGAAGCAGCAGCGGCGGCGGTGGACGTGTCCCTAGGGTATAGATACCCTAGGGTTTCCTCTGGCAAATGATGGACCGTTGGATCAAACCAGATCCAACGGTTGAGATTGAAGATGGCGGCTGGCGGCTGGCTAGATTAGGGTTAGGGAACCCTAACTGGAAACCCAAATATTTAGGGTTTCCGGTTGGATTTGGACCGGTTTCAGTTGGTTTGTAACTGAGCCGGTTTAATTGTAACTGGTTTGTATTTAATATATTTAATAAAAAATAATAATAATATTAATAATATTATAATAATAATAATAATAATAATAATAATAATAATAATAATAATAATAATAATAATAATAATAATAATAATAATAATAATAATAATAATAATAATAATAATAATAATAATAATAATAATAATAATATGGATAAAAATTTAGTATCTTCAGCTGCCCCTCTTTGCTCATCTTGTGTTAACAAGAATAGGGCAAAGATAAAAGATAATAAATTTTTATCCATTTGACTTTACTTTGATCATGATGGAGATATTGACTAAATTCTTCTTTTTCTCCAAATAAGTTCTTCTTATTATGAACTCTCTGCTGGGGATGATGATGACCTCCTTTCTGTGATAGAGTCATTCAAAAGGTTGAATAAACTCTTGATGAGTTCTTCTCATTATGAACTTTCTCTTCTTTCTTCAGATGATATCAAACAAAGGTTGAACAAGCTCTTCTCATTATGAACTTCTTCTTCCTTCTTCAGATGAGTTCTTCTCATTCATGAACTTTCTTTGGCCATGTTGATCCATCAAATGATGAATTTAAACAAAAAAGTTGAACAAGTTCTTCTCATTATGAACTTCTTCTTCCTTCTTCAGATGAGTTCTTCTATGAACTTTCTCTGGAAAATATGATCCACCAAATGATGGATTCAGGTAAAAGGTTGAACAAATTCTTCTCATTATGAACTTCTTCTTCCTTCTTCAGATGAGTTCTTCTCATTATGAACTTTTTCTGGAAAAGATAATCCACCAAATGATGGGTTCAGGTAAAAGGTTGAACAAATTCTTCTCATTATGAACTTCTTCTTCCTTCTTCAGATGAGTTCTTCTCATTATGAACTTTCTCTGGAAAAGATGATCCACCAAATGATGGATTCAAACAAAAGGTTGAACAAGTTCTTCTCATTATGAACTTCTTCTTCCTTCTTCAGATGAGTTCTTCTCATTATGAACTTTCTCTGGAAAAGATGATCCACCAAATGATGGGTTCAGGTAAAAGGTTGAACAAATTCTTCTCATTATGAACTTCTTCTTCCTTCTTCAGATGAGTTCTTCTCATTATGAACTTTCTCTGGAAAAGATGATCCACCAAATGATGGATTCAAGCAAAAGGTTGAACAAGTTCTTCTCATTATGAACTTCTTCTTCCTTCTTCAGATGAGTTCTTCTCATTATGAACTTTCTCTGGAAAAGATGATCCACCAATGATGGGTTCAGGTAAAAGGTTGAACAAATTCTTCTCATTATGAACTTCTTCTTCCTTCTTCAGATGAGTTCTTCTCATTATGAACTTTCTCTGGAAATGTTGATCCACCAAATGATGGATTCAAGCAAAAGGTTGAACAAGTTCTTCTCATTATGAACTTCTTCTTCCTTCTTCAGATGAGTTCTTCTCATTATGAACTTTCTCTGGAAAAGATGATCCACCAAATGATGGGTTCAGGTAAAAGGTTGAACAAATTCTTCTCATTATGAACTTCTTCTTCCTTCTTCAGATGAGTTCTTCTCATTATGAACTTTCTCTGGAAATGTTGATCCATCAAGTGATGAATTCAAGCAAAAGGTTGAACAAATTCTTCTCATTATGAACTTCTTCTTCCTTCTTCAGATGAGTTCTTCTCATTATGAACTTTCTCTGGTAATGATGATCCATCAAATGATGAATTTGAATCTTTTTAAAATCTTTGAAATTCCTGTTAAAAATTCAACAAGAATAAAATGAATGAAAATGCACCTATTTTGTAAACACCTAAAATATGATGCATGAATGTTAAGTTATTTGATTTCAGATTGGTGAACTGAATATTTCTTCAGTTATAGAAACCCAATAAATCTTTCTTCTTCAAATTAGAGAATCTATCCTCTTTGACAAATGTAGAGGTAGATATAATGTCATAAAAATTTCTTGAGAATAAAACTCAATTGTGTAGGCTCTTGAAAAGCTTGCATTCAAGCAACATGTTGATTATGATAACAGCTCATCTGATTATGAAATGGCTTTTCAAGATGATTTCACAGATATCGATAATTCTTCTAATACCAAAAAATCTTGACTTCTGATTCTGATGAGGAGAATAAACTGTTATACTTGACAAAATGGATTCTCAAAGGCTGAAGCGTCAATAGCCATGTAGAAATATGGTCCAAACTCATCAATTGTAAAATTGATAAATTTTATTTGTGCTGCTCAAATGACTAAGGCTGCTGATGCACTTCTTCGGATCAAATAACTCAAAGAACACTTCCAGAAGATGCTATGTTCTGTCCCATCAGATCAGATAACTTAAAGAACACTTCCAGAAGATGCTATGTTCTGTCCAACCAGATCAGATAACTCAAAGAACACTTCCAGAAGATGCTATGTTCTGTCCAACCAGATCAGATAACTCAAAGAACACTTCCAGAAGATGCTATGTTCTTCAACCAGATCAGATAATTCAAAGAACACTTCCAGAAGATGCTATGTTCTGTCCAATCAGATCAGATAACTCAAAGAACACTTCCAGAAGATGCTATGTTCTGTCCAATCAGATCAGATAACTCAAAGAACACTTCCAGAAGATGCTATGTTCTGTCCAACCAGATCAGATAACTCAAAGAACACTTCCAGAAGATGCTATGTTCTGTTCAACCAGATCAGATAACTCAAGAACACTTCCAGAAGATGCTATGTTCTGTCCAACCAGATCAGATAACTCAAAGAACACTTCCAGAAGATGCTATGTTCTGTCCAATCAGATCAGATAACTCAAAGAAACACTTCCAGAAGATGCTATGTTCTGTCCAACCAGATCAGATAACTCAAAGAACACTTCCAGAAGAT